AATTGTAAAAAAATCCCACTGCGATGCTTGCAAGTTATTTTTGAAAATGTTTTAAAACTTATTTAACACATCAGGACCATCTCGGGATTTTTTGAAAAATCTTCTCTATATTATAAGGAATAAATAAATTTAAAAAAAATAAAAGAAAATCCGGCCTAATGTTAAAACAAATCAATTTGTTTATAAAGAAAAAAAAATTTTTAATAAAAAATTAAAAAAAAAAATTTGTTTGCATTTCTTAAAGAGGTTCTCCGGATGCTACTCTTGAAAAAATCGATTTTCTTTCAATTTTATTTAAATTTTGAGGAAATGTTTCTTCGAGTGCCATGTCAAAAAACGAGATATCGTAGTTGGCATTTTTCATTTTCGAAAATGATTGCATGTAGAAGCTGAAGTTTGAACTTGAATATTTTAAAATTAAGCATGCCAAAGGGTTCTGAAATTTCTACCACATTTAGAACTCAGTCGAAGAAACATTTTCTGAAAATATAAATAAAATTGGAAGAAAATCGATTTTTCAAGAGTAGCAGCCGGAGAACCTCCTTAACAGTCGAAAGAAAACTAAAACTTTCATTCTCTCACAACTTTCGAAAATTCATAACTCGAAAATTTGGACAATTAAACAAAAATAAAAAAATACGTATCTGTTTTTTTCAATACAGAATAGAAAAAAAAATATTTTTGTCCGAGTTTAAGAGTTCGACTAAAATCTAACGTGGAATTGCCCATGTTATATATGTTTTTTTTCAAAAAAAATCAGCTACGATTTTCGAAAATGAAAATTTAGAATCTTGGGACGATTCCAGATAAAACTGCTTTAACACAATTTTGACTTATTTTAGGTAAACCTAAAAGTTTGAGATTATTGTTAGTGTTAAAGTTAAATTGTTGTTATAATATGTTAAAATCGTCGTTTTTTTAAGTTTAAATTCACCTTTTCTTTGCTCTTATCAATACGCCAACAGACAGAGGTCCCCGGTAGGTGAATATGGAATAGAGGTGAAGGGAAGGGGAATCGCAGGAATACCTGGTCACGGGCTGCTGTGCGGTGAAGCGATTTACCTTCCAAGAATATCCTAAGCCACGCGGAGAATTGTGGCGTATTGAGAAAGACATCGATGAAATATTGTTCTGTTCTTTAAAAATACAAATTTAAACATTCCCACCCTAGTCGCAGTAGTTAGTAAAACGAAGAAAAGCGGAGTATCCGTCCCGGAATAACATTGGTAGAGGCGCCGCCGCCGGGTAACTCACTGTAAGAATAAAGTGATCCTCTGCTGTTCTTCTTAGACTAACTATTCAAAATGATGCCCCGAGAAGGGGATGAAACAGACGGGCACTCCGTGGGTAGTGACAATACAGAGATAATGAGTGATGACAGTGACGAGCGTTCTCGTGTAAATACGGATCCCAATACGATGAGGGCCAGTGCGGGAGCATCTCTTTGTAGTGATGTGCGTAACGTAGCGGGGGCGCGCGGAGGTGCTGGATCTAATCGATCCGTCCGTCGCGGTCCGGGTAATATTGGTGCTGGATCAAACGAACGTCGGGCCCCCAGTCAACAATCGCGTTCCGTCGCCAGCAACCCTTCATTCAGCAACACATCAAGTTCTCGAGAGAGAATAATGAACCTAGAAATGGAAGCAGCGAGAAGAAGATATGAAATCCGAATGCGAACCTTTAAAGAACAAGAAAAGCTCGAACTGGAAATGATAGACAAGGAACTGGCCGCTAAAATAAATAATATTGATGAGGATGATGATAGATCGATTATCGAGACGACAGGAAACCGCAACAACGAACATACAAATTCAGCGGTAAACGATTGGTTACAAAAATCTCTTGAAAGGACTGCGAGAGATAAGCGGTCCCAATTCAAGCTGGCATTTGAAGAAAGTACGAGAAGAATTGGATATAGTGTACAAGAAAATATGATGCGGCTGCAAGAATCTCTTAGAGGAGAGGCAAAGGACGCGGTGACCTTGCTGATGGTGACGGCGAACGATACTACCCCAATTATGTATTTATTGCAACTGCGCTTTGGAAATCCGCAAGTGGTCGCCGATCGAATAGTTGGAAAACTACAAGCTCTTCCCAGAACCTATAGAATAGGAACCGAATTCGTGACGTTTGCTACAACCGTGAAGAACGTGGTGGCCGCACTCGAAGCAACAAACCACATTGGGTACCTCTATAGTCCGGAGCTAATGAAGGAAGTCACACACCGGATGTCCACAAGTATGATATATAACTTCAACAGATACTCACATAAACATAGAAGTCCAAGCGCACCCGTTCTCGTGACACTTTCGAAATTCTTGTTTTTCGAAGCCGAAATAGCGTGCAAGGCAGGAACATTAAACTCAACATCGACGAAGCAGCAACAACGAGACAACAAATCAGAAACTGATAAAGAACAAGGATTTAGGGCTCGCAGCTCACCTCAAAAAAGCGAGCATCTACTCCCGAAAGGTGAGCAGCTGCCCCTGAGGAGTTGCTGCTTACGTTTCGGGAGTAGATTCTCGCCTTTTTGAGGTTAACTGCGAGCTTGAGGCAGCGAGCTCTTTGCGGCACTCATGTAAAGCCTGCAGCCTGCCCAAAATTCTTTCAGTGTAGAAAAGAAGTGTGGAGTGGAGAATTGTTAGGGAACTCATCATACGCGATCATGGATCGCGTACACGTAATCCAGGGAGACGAGAGCCCCCTCGTCAACCTGAGTTGAGAGAGTCAGGAAAGAAACAGAACGAGACGAATGACAACAGACTGCTGAGAGAGTCCTACTAAAAATACTACCAGTGCGATTACACGGAAATAGTAAAAGTGTAATAGAATAGGCGCGTATGGACGATGGATCCACCGTTACGCTTATAGACTCCAAGTTAGCCAACGTAGGACTCGTATACTCTTTTAGCAAAAATATAGATCTAAAAATTAGTGCAATAGATGGAACCTCTATAAACCATTTATCAGGGGTACGCACGATAAGGAACCTGACGCTGCCCAGTCAATCGCTCAAGTCACAGGAAATAAAAAGATACCCCCACTTGGTTAAGTTCTCCGTCGATCCGTACGACGATGTTCGACCGAGATTGTTAATTGGACAGGACAACTGGGATTTAATCGTGACAACACAAATACACTCCATAGACCGCAATTTACCGGCGATGTCGCTGACAAAATTGGGATGGGTCGTGCATGGAAGACTACCCTCGAAAACAAATAAAAACCATACGCTTATGATAAAGAACGCAGACGAAGAAGGGTACAAGGAAGTCTCGGATGGCGCCTTGTATAAACTAGTACGAACTGCATATAACCTGGATGGACTCGGAATAACTAGCTTCAACAGAAGAAATAAATCATAGTTGAGAGCTGAAACGATACTGAAGAACACCGCCAAACTAGTCGGAGGTCATTGGGAAGTCGGGCTACTATGGTCATAAGATAACGTGGAAATTCCAAATAATCGGGAGCAGGCGCTACAGCGGCTCTACTTGCTGGAGAAGAAAATGGATAATAATACCGAATACGCTGCGAAGTATTGTAAACAAATACAAAATTTAATAGAATCGAAATACTGCTTCAAGAACGTTGAGAACGAAACATCGCATCGAGCCTGGTACCTACCGCATTTTGGGTCAGTGAACATAAACAAACCAGACAAAATTAGACCTGTATTCGACGCATCAGGAGAATATCGAGAAACATCACTAAATGCTAGTTTGCTTTCAGGACGAGACATGGTGAGCTCGTTATTGGGTGTACTCTTTCGCTTCAGACAAAGAGCGATCGCGTTTACAGGAGATATACGAGAAATGTTCCTGCAAGTAAAAATTCGAAGCCAAGATCAGTGGGCTCAACAATTCCTGTGGCGAAGGAATGGACAGAGAAAAGGAACCGGAAACATACGTGATATCATCAATGATCTTCGGATCTACAAGTTCTCCCTGCTCGGCCAATTATGTCATGAACGAAAATACGATAGAGTTTAAAACTCAATACCCTGATGCCGTCAAGGCCATTGAGAAGAAACACTACGTCGATGATTATCTGGACATTGTTGACACCGTAGAAGGAGGAGAACGGAGAATAAAAGAGGTGGAGACTATACACAAACGCGGGGGATTCGAAATAAGAGGTTGGAACAGCAACATTCCGGAATTACTACAACGACTACCAGTAGAATCAAAATGTCAAAAACTAATTAATCTCACCGTGGACAAGGACAACACAGAAGAGACACTAGGAGTTCGATGAGAATCATGGGTGGACGAGATATCATTCAACAAAAACTTTAAAAGGATATCCGAAGACACAATTAACGGAACAACGGACCTGACAAAGAAGGAAATGCTGAGAATCATTATGAGCATCTACGATCCGCTAGGAATACTACTACCACTCACAGTAAGAAGCAGGATTATAATGCAAAAAGTCTGTCGAAGCCGTGTAAAATGGGACGAAAAATTAGTAACCAGCGAAAGAAAGGGATGGATCGAATGGACGAAAGATCTAAAGGAAGTGGAACAATACGCAATTCCACGAGCTCATTTTCCCGGAAGTCAATTACCCGAAACTATAGAACTTCATGTCTATTGTGATGCTAGCAAAAGGGCATTCTCAGCAGTGGCTTACTTTCGAGGAATCAGAAACGATGGGAATATTCAAGTATCATTCGTAGCGGGAAAAGCAAGAAGTATTGGATTGTGAAACTGAGGCCGACAGTTACGTCAGTGTTGGCACAGTTTCAATGGTGTCGAGTTCACCGGGCAAAACCTTTAATTCCGCGAATGGGCGATCTACCTCCAGCGAGATTGGGCCACCATCAAAGACCGTTTACATTCTGCAAAATCGACTATTTCGGTCCCATAATGGTAACTGTTGGAAGACGTAGAGAGAAAAGGTGGGGAGTTCTAGTCACGTGTCTGACTACACGAGCCATCCACATTGAACTAGCATAATCGTTAAGTTCGAGTTCTGCTATCATAAGCTTGAGGAAAATGATGGGACGTCGCGGCAAACCGGCAGAGACACACTTCGATAATGGTACCAACCTAGTTGGAATGAACACTGAACTACGAAATGCACTTCTAGAGATTGACTATGACCATATGGCATACGAGATGCTAAATCGGGTTATAAAGTGGCGATTTATACCACCATCCACGCCCCATATGGGAGGAAGTTGGGAAAGGCTTGTAAGGAGTATCAAAACGGCACTGGCGGCAACTCTAAGGAAGAGAACACCTCGAGAGGAAGTGTTAATGACGCTTCTTGTAGAAGCGGAAGATGTAATCAATAGCCGACTACTTACCCAAGTGTCGGTGGATCATAGGGATGCAGAAGCGCTAACGCCAAATCACTTCCTCATCGGATCGTCATCGGGAGTATCTTCGCCAGGTCAATTCACAGACGGAGACTTGTGTTCGCGTAAGGGCTGGAGAAAATCACAACGTTTAGCCGATATGTTCTGGTCAAGGTGGGTGAAGGAATACCTCCCAACGCTAGTCGTAAGAAAATGCTGGACACAGGAAAAAGACCCCTATAGAAAGGAGACGTGGTACTTGTTGCCGATTCAACTCTTCCTCGTAACACATGGCCGAGGGGAATAATAACGAAAACCTATCCAGGAAAGGATGGACGAATCAGCCACAGCCCTATTCGGAAGGGAGGATATTGGCTAGCTAAGGCCCTTAAGAACCAAGGTACTGATCGAGAGGGGATAGAAGGGTAGACAGAGTCTCTTGGGAGAGAGAGGAAGAGAGAGAGAGAAGATGGGAGAAAGAAAAGGTCAATGACCGGGCTGAACCGAGTCAGTGATAACCGTGACGCCGTTCGAGCCCCCCACGTGTCGCCAAGTGTATAGTGTTGTCAAATGTTACTATTGTTTATGGACTACTACGTATAATTTATTTAATTGTTTGAGATTATTGTTAGTGTTAAAGTTAAATTGTTGTTATAATATGTTAAAATCGTCGTTTCTTTAAGGGTGGTAAGGTTTGTTTCGTTTAAAAAAAGACCTTTTTTCATGAATTTTTTTAGAATAAATTATTGCTGTCGATTTGTTTTACATATTATTATATGATAGTGTAACATTTGAAGAATATTAAAAAAAATTTTGTTAAAAAATAGATAGAAATAACGAAGTTATTGCAGATCTCCGCAGGTGCCTAAAAAAAGTGTTTGTGCGGTGACCAGCCTACAGCATCACTGGATGAACTGAAACCAAAAAGTGAAAATGTTTTGTTTAGTTTATTGCTTTATATCTCAAGTGACGAAGAGTTTTTTTTAATTTTTAATTTTTGACACCATGTTGAAGCCAAAATGACGATTTTTGAAAAAAAAAATCAACCTATTTGTTATTGTAAAATTGTTAATAATTTTAAAAAATTTAAATACTCTTCGTCACTTAAGAGATAAAGTAATATACTAAACAAAACATTTTCACTTTTTGGTTTTAGTTGATCCAGTGATGCTGTAGGCTGGCCACCGCACAAACACTTTTTTTCTAGGCACCTGCGGAGATCTGCAATAACTTCGTTATTTCTATCTATTTTTTAACAAATTTTTTTTTAATATTCTTAAAATGTTACACTATTATATAATAATATGTAAAATAAATCGACAGCAATAATTTATTCTAAAAAAATTTATGAAAAAAGGTCTTTTTTTAGACAAAACAAACCTTACCCCCCTTAAGTTTAATGTTACCTTTTCTTTGCTCTTATCAATACTCCAACAGACTGAGGTGCCCGGTAGGTGGATATCGAATAGAGGTGAAGGGAAGGGGAATCGCAGTAATACCTGGGCACGGGCTGCTGTGCGGTGAAGCGATTTACCTTCCAAGAATATTATAAGCCAGGCGGAGAATTGTGGCGTATTGAGAAAGACATCGATAAAATATTGTTCTGTTCTTTAAAAATACAAATTTAAACATTCCCACCCTAGTCCCAGTAGTTAGTAAAACGAAGAAAGGCGGAGCATCCGTCCCGGAATAACAGAGGTATAATCGCTCTAAGCTGCCTAAAAGCAAAACGAAAGATAGCACAATGAAAAAGGTGACTACGAATATCAAACGACATCTACAGGACTGCAGTGGATCAAGTGAATGGACAAAAAGGCTGTTCCCTTTTCACCTAACTACCATGACCCTTCTGAAACTACAGTTGTCAATCGTGGACAGAAGGAAGGTTCTTTGCAAGCTGTGAATTGTCCAGTTGCTTCTTCAAATTATAACAAACACATGGGCTATGTTCATTATGGTGATCGATTATTAGCAGAATACAAAATCGATTGAAAATCAAAAAAAATTATGGTTACGATTGTTTTGGCACTTTATAGATCTTGCCGTAGTCAATTACTTTATTATATATACGGCAAAAGATACTCAGCCTTCTATAACATTGATCAGCTAGACCAAAAAGTTTCCTTAAAAATCGTTGTTTGGGGGTTTACGGGGTCGCTGATTACGAATTTAAATCGGTTTTTAAAAATAAAAAATGGCGAATCAAATGTGACGTCCGAAAAAATTTTTAATTTATCAGATTTACTCAAAAATTGTTAATCTTGGGTATTCGGGATTGCTAAAAACGAATATAATGCATACTCTTTTCATTCTTATTATTTAGGTTTTTCCTCAAGCCGCTAACTTGCCTTTTTTCAAGGAAACAATAGTATTGTTTGAAAATCTTAAAGCATGTTTTAACCTTGAATCATCTTGAATAAAATAAAGACATTGTCTAAAAAACCTTCAGACAGATTTTAACCTGACTGTAGATAAGAACAAAGACATTTTTTAAGAAACCTTTTAGTGTTGTCATTTTTTATGCAAGTTTGAAAACGTCTTCTAAATGACTGTTCTTTTTAACTTAAAGTGGAGGTAGTTGCGTGCGCAAACGTTAAAGTAGGGGTAAAAGAGTGTGAGTTGAAGTAGAGTGGGGTTTAAGAGATTTAAGGTAGGTTGGAATCCACGATTCGACACTTCTGTTTCAGTTTTCATCATCATCAGCAGCTCCAGCAGAATCAGTAGTACCAACACCTTTAGCATTTACAGAAACATTAGCAGTGTCAGCGGCTTTAACAAGTACATCATCATCTATTCCTATAATAGGTGAATTGTCTTTCTTTAATTAAATCAATTTTTATTCCAAATTTGTTTTTTTTAAATCAATATTAACCCCTTCGCAGTCAAGACAAACATCTCATAAGTGGGCTCAAAATGTCGACAACTTTTTAGAAAACTAAAATTTGCGCAAACGAGCATACTGTTGTATTTGAAGTCGCTGATTACGAATCCGATATCAGATTTTGAAAATTCAAAATGGCGGACATGAAAATTAAAAATCGACTTAATTAACTTGAAACTTGTTACTCATGGGTTTTCGGGGTCGCTGATTACGATTCCGATATCAGATTTTAAAAATTCAAAATGGCGGATACAATATGGCAAATAAAATAGCGGATCCAATATGGCGAATGAAATTTTCTAATTTTGTTTTTTTATATTTTGTTTGTTTGTTCCAATATTGGATCCGCCATTTTCAATACCGATATTACATTTTTAATCTACGACATCAATAAATCCCAAGTAACAACATTTAAGTATATCTGATAAATTTTTTAAAATGGCGCCAGCCATATTCGAACCGCCACACTGTATTTTAAAAATCTGATGCTAGATTCATAATCAGCGACCCCGAAAACCGCAAAGTAACGAGTTTTAAATGAATCGGACGTGTTCTTAAACATGTCGTCCGCTATATTGGATCCGCCATTTTGAATTTTTAAAATCTAAAATCGGATTCGTAATCAGCGACCCTAAAAACCTCCGAGTAAAAAGTTTCAAGTAAATCCGATGAATTTAAGAAAATGTCGTCCGACATATTGGATCCGCCATTTTGAATTTTCAAAATCTGATATCAGATTTGTAATACTATATTACGAAACTAACAAATAAATTATAAATTATTGAAATAGGTTTTGAAGGTAAAGTAAGTTTTTTAAATTATGAACTTAGTTTAACTTGTAAATTTATTAATGAAAACTATTTGTTTGTATTTTTTTCACAGAGACATCAAATAAGTGTGATAAACGTTTGTCTGTAGCTTCCTTAGAACACCTTAGACACAGCGACAATTTCGACACACAACCTTTGAATAACAGAGTCCTTTAAGTCCGATGTTTTGTATTTTCTTAGTTGTACATTCACCGTGTATTTCTGTTCGTTATAATGTGTGATTAATAAGAAAATTAAAAATGTCTTCGACGGTGAAGTGTGTGATTTGTTGTTCCAGTACTAAAATTATTTTATTTGTTGATCATGTTTTACAGAAGTGCCAAAGTATTTCAAAAGTTAGAATCAAAAATAATTTAAAATATAGTAAAGTCAATCTACCATCTGAACCGGATATACTGATTGGATATCATTTAAAGTGCTACAAAAATTTTACAGCAATTATGAAGAAATATGTAGAACGTCAAGAAATTGAAGATCCTGTTGCAAGTACTTCGCAGGAGGATATAAAATTAGTAAATGAAGAATGTTTCTAGTGATCAGTGTACCCTTCAATCAACCTTGGAAGGGTGTATATTTTGTGGAATAAAGAGAAAAACCTACAAGGGAAATATACAAAGGCTGCATCAAGGAAATATTTCGGAGTTAATGTCGTTTGCATTGGAGAAAAATGATCAAGATATTTTGAAGAAACTAAAAGATTGTGCATCGAGTAAAGTGCCATATCACGTAAATTGCAGAACAATATATTACTATAAACATAAATGTGGTGGCAAACCAGTTAAAGAAAATTCTTGGCACATTTTCAGAAAAAATCATAAACGAGCTTATGAACTATTGTGTGAATACATCTAAGCAGAAATAATTAAAGACGGGAAAAGCATTCTTTTGTCTTTGTTATTTAGCATTTTCAATCACTTTGATCAAATGTCGAATGACACCTCTATGCATAATGAAAACTTGTTCTCTGAACAATACTTCGAAAGTAAAATCAAAAACACATTTAATGAGCAGATTAATATTGTAACGTTCCATTATAAAAAAATTGTTGTTTCTACCACTGGTCTGAAAGCAGATATAACTGACTTTATTTTTTCCTCCTTAGAAGAAAAGGATATATTGCAAAAGGCAGCTCTTATTATGAGACGAGATGTGCTTAATATAAAAAAACAACAACTTCCTGAAAATTTAACATCATCAGATGTCATTTTAGGTGAATGTTCAACACCACCTTCACTTGAAAATATCTGTTTGACATTGATAGTTGGTTTGGAAAAACGACGCAGAAATAATATCCGTAGAGTAAAAAAAGTCTGTTCTTTATCGCAAGATATTACTTATACAATTACAAATGGACAAATGAAGACATCAAAACATATGACCCTTGGATTAGCTTGAAAGAGTTTGACAAGTAGTCGGAAGGTCATTGACATTTTAAGTGAATATGGCTACTGCTGTAGCTATAACGTACTTGAAGAACTAGAAACGGAAATGACTTATGCAGCAACAAGTACTTTGCAAGCATGTCCGTCAGGGATATTTTTAAGTTCACACCTCAGTACCGGAGTTGTTTGCGATAACTTTGACAGGTTCGTCGAG